TCTTTCTTTCTTTCTTTCTTTCTTTCTTTCTTTCTTTCTTTCTTTCTTTCATGTATATGAGTACACTGTTGCTATCTTCAGACACGCCAGAAGAGGGCATCAGATCCCATTACAGATGGTTGTGGGCCACCATGTGGTTGCTGGGAATTGAACTCAGGTCCTCTGGAAGAGCAGTCAGTGCTCCTAACCCCCAAGCCATCTCTCCAGCCCCCCCTTATCTTTCCTTAGTCGATACTTGGAAATCATTTAAAAGAGGATTCTCTCCACACAGACAGGTCTCTAGGATACAGTTTATGTGATTTACTGCAAGGCCATGTGAAGAATCAGTTTCCTGGAGATTTCCTTAGGGGCTGGTGGGAATGAGGAAATAATCTCACATTCCACAAAACATCTTAAAAACTTTATTACTCTACTCTCTCAAAACTTCCTTTGACACTTTGCCCCTCCTCTCTGGTGCCCATCCCCCATCCCTTTACTTGCTTCCATTCCCATCCACTTCATGCTGGAACAGCTATCAGCCTCGGAGACAGACAGCTCTAGCCCCTGTGTGTTGTCAGGTGCCCATCTCCCTTAGGAGAGGTGGAGTTGGGGGCCTGTGATGTGCAGAAGTGTCGTGTATGTGTTATACAGATCTGTTTTCCCTCTCCCCCTGGATTTCTGCCTCTGTCTCTGTTTCTTTAAATCACTACACTGGTAGGGAGGGCATCTGAACTCTTATATACAGTCTGAGGGTTGTGCAAACTCCTATCTCTTAATTAGCTCTGCGAAGGTGGCCCAACTGACCATTACCTCAGTTAGGCATTTGGGAGTCTCTTCCTAGAGTCTACCCTCCTCTGGTGTCTGATGACCAAGGTTTCTTGTCTCATTCCTCTTTGAAAGATCTATGGAGCAGCAGCTGAGTGAAGCCACACACGCGTCTGTTTTTCCTGAAAGCCCCCAAGTCTCCTATCGGTTGGCTCTTTCCTCTGACCTGGCATCTGGCTTCTTTCGTTTCTCTTGGCGTCCTTCCTCTATGCAGATCTCTCTCCAGCCTGATGTCATTCGCCTCGTCCTACCTCCACCTCATTTCTGTCTTGTTGCACCATTTCCCCAAGCTGACTAATGGTACTCTAAGCACCAGGCTTAGAGGACTCAAGGAGGAAGGAGGACGAAATGAGAATATGCTGAGGCTTGTCCCTGGGCTGTCGGCCTTCACATGCAGATGCCCTGGCCTTACATCTCAGACCTCCTCCTCAGAGTTTACTTCTTATCAGGGCTGCTGTGTGTGTGTGTGTGTGATATGAGTGTGTGAGTGTAAATAGACATGTGCAAGTGTATGAGTGTATGTGAGTGTGTGAGAGTGTATGTGAGTGTGTGTGAGTGTGTGAGAGTGTATGTGAGTGTGTGTGAGTGTGTGGATGTATGTGTGCAAGTATGTGAGTGTATACTAGTGTGTACTAGTGTGTGCTAGTGTGTGAGTGAGTGATGTGAGTGTGTGAGAGTGTGAGTGTGTGTGAGTGTGTGCTAGTGTGTGTGGGAGTGTGTGATGTGAGTGTGTGTGAGTGTGTGCTATTGTGTTTGAGTGTGTGCTAGTGTGTGAGTGAGTGATGTGAGTGTGTGTGAGTGTGTGCGAGAGTGTGTGATGTGAGTGTGAGTATGTGTGAGTGTGTGCGAGTGTGTGTTATGGATAGTTACACATGTCATGATGCACTTGTGAAGATCAGAGGACTACTTTGGAGTTAAGTATCTCCTTCCACCCTTATGTAGGATCCAGAAAGTGAACTCAGGTCATCCAGGTTACTTAGCAAGTACTTTTATTTTCTGAGCCACTCTTATGTTCATGGGAATATAGGTAAGAATTTAAAGAGCATTTGGAGAAAATGTATATACATATATATGCATACACACATATGAATTTGGCTAGTCTGTGAGAATTCTTTGTGCGAGTGTGTGTGTTTTGAATCTGAGTGACCTTGAACACACAATCCTCTTGCCTCAGCCTCTTGAGTTTTGGGATTACTCTTGAGTTGGCTACATCTAGCTCTGTAAGATCTTTTACATTATTATTTTATTTATTTTCATTTTATGTGTATGAATGTTTACTTACATGTATGTGTGACAAGAAGCAGAGCCCCTGGATCTGCAGTTATGGGTTGCTGGGACTTGAACTCAGGACCTCTGGAAGAGCAGCCAGTGCTCTTAACCACTAAGCCGCCCCATCCATTTGTTTGTTAGCTTTTTCTTCCTTTTTTTTTTTTTTTTTTTTTTGAGACAGGGTTTCTCTGTGTAGCCTTGGCTGTCCTGGAACTCACTCTGTAGACCAGGCTGGCCTCGAACTCAGAAATCTGCCTGCCTGCCTCTGTCTCCCAAGTGCTGGGATTAAAGGCGTGCGCCACCACTGCCCAGCTTCATTTTTCTAATCTATAAAATGAGGTTGATATAGAGATGGACATGGTAATACACCTGGAATTTTATCATTAACAGATCTGAGGCAGTAAGTTCACAACTTGTAGGCCAGCCTGGGCTGCATAGTGTATTTGAGGGCAGCCTAGGCTATAAAGAGAGACCTTATCTCAATAACAATAAATA